TCTTAAAAAGTTAATAAGTGTATGGTCCAAGAGCGTGATGGCCAGGATTTAGGGAATTGTAATTTGCATGGTACTATTTAACAAAAAATTAGGGTGTGTGGTCCCAAAGTATGATGGTGAGGATTAAGTATAAATAAATCTGAAGATTTTGTCCACTAGACCCCCTGCAAAACGAGGAAAAAAGTAAAAAAACAAAAAAAAGCGTATAAAATGAGAGTTTTAGTGAGAAAAAATGGCAATAAATTATGCAAAAGTGGCAAAAACCCCTTATATTTTCAGACAATTAACGGGTCTAAAAATAGAAGAATTTGAAAAAATCGTGGAAAAAGTGAGGCCGGAGTGGGAAAAAATGGAGGCAAAAAAGAAATGTCACGGAAGAAAATCGCACGTTGAAACACTAGGTAGTGTAGACATTCAAAAAGAAAGGAGTTATAATAACAATTTTTGAGAGAAGCTAAGGATGTTATACGACTTAAAAGATAAGCAATGGGAAAGGATAAAGGAGAGTTTACCCGGAAAGAAAGGGGATAGTGGAAGGAGTGCAAAGGACAACAGAAAGTTCATAGCAGCAGTGATGTGGATAGGGCGAACAGGAGCGCCATGGAGAGCTTTGCCTGAAGAATATGGCAAGTGGTTTAGTGTGCATAAAAGATTCATAAGATTGGCAAAAGCAGGTGTGTGGCAGATGATTTTCAATACTCTAGCTGTAGACGAAGACACGGAATGGCTGATGATAGACTCAACAATAATAAGGGCACATCAGCATGCAGCTGGTGCTAAAAAAAAATGAGGAGACTGAAGAGGAAAATCAGGGATTGGGGCGATCTAAAGGTGGTTATTCAACCAAATTACATGCTGCTTGTGATGCTCTTGGCAACCCATTAAGGTTTTTTGTTACTGCTGGACAAAGGTCGGATTATGTAAAGGCTTTAGACTTAGTGGAAGGCAAGAAAATGGCAGCACTTATTGCAGATAAAGGGTATGACGCAAATTATATGATTAAAGCGGCAGAAGCTATCAATGCTGAACCGGTTATTCCACCACGTTCCAATAGAAAAACACCAAGNAACACCAAGAGAATACGATAAAGAGCTTTATAAAGAGAGAAATCTCATCGAAAGAATGTTCAATAAACTCAAGAATTTTCGTAGGGTTGCTACTCGTTATGATAAATTAGCTATTTCTTTCTTATCTTTTGTCCATATTGCTTCTATATATCTTTGGTTAAAATAAATGTCGACACTACCTAGAAGACAAAATATTATGCGTTCTCATTTATTACAGAACATACATAACACATCCATTTTTGGGATTTTTATTCAATTTGCACAACTCAAATATTTGCCGACTTTTAAAGAAAATGGAGCCATTTCCGGCTATCAAGGATGGCAAAAAGTTCAAAGTAATGTAGTAATTCCATATAAAAGGTACCGGAAAAAACCACTAACGGAAGAGCAAAAGGAGCATAGTAGAAAGCTGGCGTCGTTCAGGATGCAAGTGGAAAATAAAATTCGAGAGATCAAAATATTCAAAATTATATCAAATGTTTACCGCAATTTTCAGAAGAAATACAACATGAGATTCAATATTATTGCTGGTATTGTGAACCTAAGGCACGGTTTTTAATAGCTTTCGGGTTGGGGTTCCTTACCGGATTTTATCAGCAACTCTCTTTATGTTGTTTCGCAGGGGGTCTACTGCTGTGGAATGAGCAAATTGAAAAGTTTTATGGCTATCCACAGAATATACAATTTTCAACAAGTGAACTAAATACTAAAAAAGTTATGTAAAAAAAGTTGTTGACTTGTAATCTCATGATAATTAAGATATGCTTAATTAATAAGGGGGTTATATGCCAAGTTTTTTTGATAAACCGTTTAGTGAACAGGTAAAAGTAGCAATAGATAGCAGTGATCCAAAGTTTTTACAAATACTGTTAGGCATTAGGCACTGTCAATTGCAAGAAGATTGGTTTGCCCATGCTATACTTTCTCATAAGATTATAGGAGTAATTCATACCTTAAGATATCAGTTACCTATAAACATAATCAGTGCACAACAACAGCTATTAGATAGAAATTTTAGTCATCGTATATACGGAACATTACCTAATATGTATGATATTGATGAACCTGATGATCTTTCATATATCATTGCAAGTAGTGAAAATGTAACAAAAGTAAATAAAGAACTAGAAGATGTAGAGAGAGAAATACTGCAGAGATATAAAAGTTTTAAACACGAAACTGTGGATGGTAAGTATCATGTATTTAATGTGCGTGATATGATAGATGTAAATAAATACACATATTCTTATGATGGCAGTGATTATACAGGTGGCAATATATGCTTAAAAGATGCTGCAGAGTCACTTAAGAGCAACATAGCTTTGCAATCAATATTGAAGTTGGATATATCAAGTCAATATGATAAAATGTACAAGGAAATGTATAAAGAAATCATAAGTCAATATCAATTAAGGATTAAAGATGGCCAATCAATAAATTCACTGTATGAAGGTAGTACATCACTAATGAGAAAGATTTCTGAGTTGAGGGATGGTGATGATAGACTTAGATCAATATTAAATAGTATTAGCAAAGAAGTTGTAGATGGTATACAGAGTGATAAGTTTATGACAGAGGTCTATGATAAGTTAATCGATAATTTATTATACACTGCATTGAAAGTAAAGGATCATCCATTACATGAAGAGCTTAAAGGTGTAAGCGGTAGCGCAGAAGAAAAGGTTAAAATATTAAAAAAGAAGATCAAAGAACAAGCAGAAGTAAATAATCAGCATCAACGTATAAAAGAGAGCATGGAATATGCTGCCAATAGCGAGACTCCAGACATAGACATACTAAATGTATTAATTGCTAATGGTGCATCACTGCTAGCAAGCTATGTGGAAGATTCTAAAACAGGTAACTCAATAACAGTGCAAGAAAAATTGCAACAACTAGGAGGGGAATACAAGTCTTTAATAGGCAAGTCTATTTTCACAATCACAAGGAAAGTTCATAATTTAGTATTTGATTTTCCAATGGAAGGAGAAGAGGATGTGGATCTGCTGAAGTTAGTATCTGAAGTTCCATCTGAAGATGGATGCTTTGCAGAGAGTGGAGAAAATATAAGGTTACTTGATAACATAGGTAGTGAAGGTGCAAATGAGTTTATGGACTTATTGAAGGCTTGTATAAATGATACCAGTGCAAGGGAGGAGGAAGAAGATATGTATTCACGAGTTGCTGCAATATTAAGTGATACGCTCTCTTTTAAGAAGAAGGAGAAAGAATTTGAAGAGGCATATGCAAAGTTATATGGATGCATTAAAATAGGTTATTCAGCAATAAAAACAAGAGATGATAAGGTAATAGTGGACTATTTATCTGAGATAGAGGAAGAGGCAAAGCACTCTAAAAATCCGCATATTAAGAAATTGTATGGTAAGTTCTTTACAATTTTAAGTGAATACAATGACTTGCCAAAGTCAATGTTTTTGACCAGGTGGTTAAAGTATGTTACGCGTACAGCAAAATCATATTCTGGGTATGAATGGAGTCCAGCATGGGAAAAAATACTGACCGATCCTGGTTACCGTACAGATGTAGGTGAATGGTCAAAAAATAAATTTGAAGAGATAAAAGAAACAGAAATAAAGAGAGAAAAAAGCGCATTAACAGCAAGAGCACAAAGCGCTGAACAACAAGCTGCCCAAGCTGATCAAAGGACTGAGCAAGCTAATCAAAGGGCTGCTCAGGAAGCACAGGAAAAGGAAGAATTTAAACAAAAAGCTGAGCAAGAGGCTCAAAGGGCTGAGCAAGAGGCTCAGAGAGCAAACAAGCTTGCAGAAGCACTGGAGAAAATGGGAGTAGATCTGAATACTGTTTTGAATGATGTAAACATAAGCCAAGGTGCAAGTGCAAGTACGGAAAGAAGTTAATGAAGGCAATCTATCCTGAACACTCGTTTGGCAGCGTAAGTTTGCCTATATGGCAGTACAATGTAATAAGAAAATTTTCTCAACATAGAAAGTACAGAGTGCTGCTATGGGAATTTGGTCCTACTATATTTGAGTATTTATGCCAACAGAGCGGTTTTAATCATAAAGAACTGTTACAAAAAAGAGAGGCTGAAGAGGTGCTTGAAAGTGAATGTCAGGTGCTGCTGAATAACTTCGGTGAGATGAAAATGTATTGGTGGTGGCCATGGAGCAGAAAAATAAAAGACGTAAAGCTAACCGTTGCCCAGTGGGAAAGAGCAATAAATTATGATGATAGTTCTTTTGTGTGGAGGTTGGTACTGAGTGTCTTTACAAACGTAATCACGCATCAGTGGCATATTGTGCATTATGGATATGTTAATAATTATCAAAGATTAAAGGGGGTAAAAATGCAAAATGCAAAAAATATAGCAATCGGTGTAAGCGCAGCAGTAATAGGAGCAGGAGTAGCTACTGCAGTATCTACAGTAAGAACAGGTACAGAGTGGGTCACAGGAACAGCAGCAGGAATATCAGAAACAGTGGCAGCATTTTCAACAGTTAGTTCTTATTTCCCTGGCAGAGCTGTTGGTGGAGTAGGAGCATTAGTCATAGAGGATAGATTTAGCAGCTTAATTAAAGCAATAATTTTGAGTGGTGAAACTGACAGCCCCACTCTCAGTGAAGAGTTAAAATCGTTCAAGTTACAGTGGCTATTAATGGATCTTGATACAAGTTTACAGGAAATGGAAGCAGGAAAAAAAACAAAAGATGAACACAATGAATATGCTAAAGAGAAAATAAAAAATGTACAGAGGTTATCATTAAAATGTCACCCAGACGTAACCCATATGGCAACAACCGGTGCACAGCAAAAAGTTGGTGCAGTACTGAAGGCAGTGAGAAAAGTGCATAATTATGTGATAGAAACAAGACGAGGACATGGGTACCTCTATAGATTATTTGGTGAGCTTTCAGTTGAGTTAATCAATAATGAGGAAAATTTATCTAAATTAGTCAACATTGTTGCATGTGGCAAGCTGTGGGAGATAGCCTATTGGGAAGAAGGCAGGTTGATGGAGAATAGGAATTACTACTTAAAAGAAGCACGAGAGCATTATGTAAAGTTATGCAAAAATAAACTATCCCTACTGAAGGATCTGCTTAATACAGAACCAGTTCCAATAGAGGGAATAATAAGTATAAGAGATATGATAGGCAAAGTACAAAAGGAACTTGATGAAGATATAAAAAAGTACAAAAAACTATATAACGACGTTTGGGTTAAAAATCTGAAAAAATTGAGTGAAGAGTGCAAGAAAGAAGAGAAATTGCAAGTAATCAAGCCTGAAATAGATGAATTATTCAAGAAAAGCCATGAGCAATATGAAATATTACAAGGGAAAAAGACAGGTAAAGTGAAAGCAGATGAAATTTTTGCACAGCCAATACTAGAGTATCGCAATCTAATGAACATGTATTACAAATTAGTAATGAAGTTGAGTAAAAATATAGAAAAGGGTTGTACACAAAATGATGTAATTTATTTAAGTCAACAAAAGTTTGTCTTAGGAGAAGAAAATACAGGTTTCACTAATGCAAGTAAGGAGTATATAAAAGAACTGTCAGAACAAGAATTGTGTAAATTTGTTGAGCTGATGGTAGGATTTTATTGTGATAAACAGGGTAGAGAGAAGTTGCAAGGTGTGATCTACGGATATTATCAAGGTAATGGTAAAAAAATATACGAAATAGGAAATATATTGATATTTGCACTAAGTAGATTAGCTGAATTATTGGAGGAAAAGTTCGTGGAAAAAGAAACATTTTTCCAGAAGGAAGAGAAAAGGCGGGAAGAAGCAGTCAAAGAATCAGAAGCAATAAAGAAACTTATAGAGGAGTATGAACAACAAGCTGCCCAAGCTGATCAAAGGACTGAGCAAGCTAATCAAAGGGCTGCTCAGGAAGCACAGGAAAAGGAAGAATTTAAACAAAAAGCTGAGCAAGAGGCTCAAAGGGCTGAGCAAGAGGCTCAGAGAGCAAACAAGCTTGCAGAAGCACTGGAGAAAATGGGAGTAGATCTGAATACTGTTTTGAATGATGTAAACATAAGCCAAGGTGCAAGTGCAAGTACGGAAAGAAGTTAATGAAGGCAATCTATCCTGAACACTCGTTTGGCAGCGTAAGTTTGCCTATATGGCAGTACAATGTAATAAGAAAATTTTCTCAACATAGAAAGTACAGAGTGCTGCTATGGGAATTTGGTCCTACTATATTTGAGTATTTATGCCAACAGAGCGGTTTTAATCATAAAGAACTGTTACAAAAAAGAGAGGCTGAAGAGGTGCTTGAAAGTGAATGTCAGGTGCTGCTGAATAACTTCGGTGAGATGAAAATGTATTGGTGGTGGCCATGGAGCAGAAAAATAAAAGACGTAAAGCTAACCGTTGCCCAGTGGGAAAGAGCAATAAATTATGATGATAGTTCTTTTGTGTGGAGGTTGGTACTGAGTGTCTTTACAAACGTAATCACGCATCAGTGGCATATTGCGCATTATGGATATGTTAATAATTATCAAAGATTAAAGGGGGTAAAAATGCAAAATGCAAAAAATATAGCAATCGGTGTAAGCGCAGCAGTAATAGGAGCAGGAGTAGCTACTGCAGTATCTACAGTAAGAACAGGTACAGAGTGGGTCACAGGAACAGCAGCAGGAATATCAGAAACAGTGGCAGCATTTTCAACAGTTAGTTCTTATTTCCCTGGCAGAGCTGTTGGTGGAGTAGGAGCATTAGTCATAGAGGATAGATTTAGCAGCTTAATTAAAGCAATAATTTTGAGTGGTGAAACTGACAGCCCCACTCTCAGTGAAGAGTTAAAATCGTTCAAGTTACAGTGGCTATTAATGGATCTTGATACAAGTTTACAGGAAATGGAAGCAGGAAAAAAAACAAAAGATGAACACAATGAATATGCTAAAGAGAAAATAAAAAATGTACAGAGGTTATCATTAAAATGTCACCCAGACGTAACCCATATGGCAACAACCGGTGCACAGCAAAAAGTTGCTGCAGTACTGAAGGCAGTGAGAAAAGTGCATAATTATGTGATAGAAACAAGACGAGGACATGGGTACCTCTATAGATTATTTGGTGAGCTTTCAGTTGAGTTAATCAATAATGAGGAAAATTTATCTAAATTAGTCAACATTGTTGCATGTGGCAAGCTGTGGGAGATAGCCTATTGGGAAGAAGGCAGGTTGATGGAGAATAGGAATTACTACTTAAAAGAAGCACGAGAGCATTATGTAAAGTTATGCAAAAATAAACTATCCCTACTGAAGGATCTGCTTAATACAGAACCAGTTCCAATAGAGGGAATAATAAGTATAAGAGATATGATAGGCAAAGTACAAAAGGAACTTGATGAAGATATAAAAAAGTACAAAAAACTATATAACGACGTTTGGGTTAAAAATCTGAAAAAATTGAGTGAAGAGTGCAAGAAAGAAGAGAAATTGCAAGTAATCAAGCCTGAAATAGACGAATTACTCAAGAAAAGCCATGAGCAATATGAAATATTACAAGGGAAAAAGACAGGTAAAGTGAAAGCAGATGAAATTTTTGCACAGCCAATACTAGAGTATCGCAATCTAATGAACATGTATTACAAATTAGTAATGAAGTTGAGTAAAAATATAGAAAAGGGTTGTACACAAAATGATGTAATTTATTTAAGTCAACAAAAGTTTGTCTTAGGAGAAGAAAATACAGGTTTCACTAATGCAAGTAAGGAGTATATAAAAGAACTGTCAGAACAAGAATTGTGTAAATTTGTTGAGCTGATGGTAGGATTTTATTGTGATAAACAGGGTAGAGAGAAGTTGCAAGGTGTGATCTACGGATATTATCAAGGTAATGGTAAAAAAATATACGAAATAGGAAATATATTGATATTTGCACTAAGTAGATTAGCTGAATTATTGGAGGAAAAGTTCGTGGAAAAAGAAACATTTTTCCAGAAGGAAGAGAAAAGGCGGGAAGAAGCAGTCAAAGAATCAGAAGCAATAAAGAAACTTATAGAGGAGTATGAACAACAAGCTGCCCAAGCTGATCAAAGGACTGAGCAAGCTAATCAAAGGGCTGCTCAGGAAGCACAGGAAAAGGAAGAATTTAAACAAAAAGCTGAGCAAGAGGCTCAAAGGGCTGAGCAAGAGGCTCAGAGAGCAAACAAGCTTGCAGAAGCACTGGAGAAAATGGGAGTAGATCTGAATACTGTTTTGAATGATGTAAACATAAGCCAAGGTGCAAGTGCAAGTACGGAAAGAAGTTAATGAAGGCAATCTATCCTGAACACTCGTTTGGCAGCGTAAGTTTGCCTATATGGCAGTACAATGTAATAAGAAAATTTTCTCAACATAGAAAGTACAGAGTGCTGCTATGGGAATTTGGTCCTACTATATTTGAGTATTTATGCCAACAGAGCGGTTTTAATCATAAAGAACTGTTACAAAAAAGAGAGGCTGAAGAGGTGCTTGAAAGTGAATGTCAGGTGCTGCTGAATAACTTCGGTGAGATGAAAATGTATTGGTGGTGGCCATGGAGCAGAAAAATAAAAGACGTAAAGCTAACCGTTGCCCAGTGGGAAAGAGCAATAAATTATGATGATAGTTCTTTTGTGTGGAGGTTGGTACTGAGTGTCTTTACAAACGTAATCACGCATCAGTGGCATATTGCGCATTATGGATATGTTAATAATTATCAAAGATTAAAGGGGGTAAAAATGGATAAAGCAAAAGGTGTGGTAATTGGTACGGCAATTGGTGTGGGAGCAGTATCAATAGGCGTAACAGCAGTAGTAATAGCTGCTGCAACAGAAAGAGATAGAGAAGTAGTAACAGCAGAAATGGCAACAAGAGTAGAGGCTATGTTTGCTACAGTTAGCTCTTATTTCCCTGGTGGCGCTGTTGGTGGAGTAGGAACATTAGTAAAAGAGGATAGATTTAGCAGCTTAATTAAAGCAATAATTTT